GGAACGGCGAAATGACAAGTGATATAAGTGCTCCTATGAATATCGTTCTTTTTATATCACTTGTCATTTCGCCGTTCCTGAGCGCGCGAAATTTCAGCCCTATCATTTGTGGAAAATAATCGCTTCTAATTTAAAAACTATTATAGCCTCGACACTTTTGTATTAGGATTTTCGCCTGGAAATGTTCTAAGGAATCTGTCATTAAGAGGACCTCCGGTGGTTTTAGGACACCCTGTATATATACAATTAAAACAATAAAATATGAAACAATTATAAATTTAAATTGAAATTTAATTTTATTAAATTAAAAGTTTATAAATGAATTTAATTAAATAAAATTAAATGTCAGGCATGCCCATGTCATTAAAATTTAATTTAATTTAAATATGAGAAATTAAATTCTCATAATTGAAAAGTTCTTATTTATATTTCGAAATATTTGAGAATAAGAATTTTTAGAATTTTATACTAACTAATATTTAATTTTTAATAAGATAACAACGATCACAGTTATAATAGTTTATTACGATTAAATTTATTACAATTAAATGGAAAAGTATTAATTAATAAATATAAGTTGAATTATAAGAACTTGATTAATGGATGCGGTGATATTTATGAATAATTTCCTATAAGGAACTGAATGATAAATTTACTGGAACTGCTATAAAGCATAAGTTATCACACGGAGATGCGAATGTTATTAATTAAAGCATTAAAGTCGTCATGCGCTATGATAAAAATGTAGTTCTATTAATAAAAGTTATAATAAATCCAATAGTTACTCTCGAGAGAGAACTTGTTATTTATTGAAATAGGTCTCACTATTAATACTTATAAATGTGCGTTGCTTATTTCCAAATTAGCATACATTAAAATGTGAAATCAAAGATAAATTTTTAAGTAAACAGCCTTAACTAAAAGAATATATATATATTCTTATATTGTTAGTTTATCTATATATATATAAAGATAAATTAACAAGATGCGTGTACTGTAACATTCTCAAAATTTGGCTTCCAGATCTTCCAAGAGAGATAACGAACTTTAGCGACGTATTATTGTAAATAAATCAGATTCAGAAGTTAAAAATTATCACACAAGTTCTAAGACACTTAATTATTGAATACAGCTGTGTCCATCACATTTCCATTAATTCGCAGAGAGGATAGACGCTGTGAGTAAACTAAGCGACGATTGAGACTCGCTGCGACCTACCTTGAATTTAACCATGACACACGCGCGTAAACCGCGGTCTCGACACTACACACAGATTATCCGGTACTACGTGGATCTCCTTACTCTTGAAGCGTTTTCGCCTCAGCTTTTCGCCACCGCACTTTGAGGGAAGTCGCGCCTAACCGGAGCTTGTCGTATGCGATTTAACGGTGG